TGTACAAGTAATCCATCACTTGAAATGCTGTGATGGTCTGCTGGAGCTAGCCCTGACCTCCTGATGGATGTTTGTGTCACTGGAGGATGCTCTAGGTACGGGATCTGTCGTTCCAGCCGCATACCAGACGTTATAGAAAATCAGGAGACATTTTAATCTTGGAACACAGGCAGACAGACTAAATTGACATATTTACTAGCCACCTCCGGACCAAACCTTTCCCTCTTAATCACAGAGCAGTTTGCTTTGTGGGTAGTTGCCCACTAGTTCTTGGAGATAAAAAAGATGCTGTAACGTAGTGTGACTTTCTGGAGAGGTGTAATGACTTCGTGGCTAAGTATGAGATGAGTCGCAGCCTGGGGCACTGCTTGCAGGATGTTTCCCATGAGAAACAAGCTTTTGTTTTTCCAATATATCTTAATCAAATATAGCATGACATGTTCCCCCCTGTGGAAGGGCTGAGTCTTGAACCCAGGATGAACAGCAGTGGAGGAAAACAGCTTTTTAGTGCATTAAGTTCAGCAAGGAGTTCAGTGGCATATTTTTCTTGCTGGCAGACGTATCACTTTTCTTTGTGAAATGTTTCTAAATTAAAGCCAGTCTTAAATTGTGTCTCACCCCGAAATAAAAGGTTAAAATTAGCTGTAGTTCTTGGGCTTATCACTTGCAGACTGGCTGCTCTGTGAGGGGCATGTGAGACACCAACACTCGATACGGAGTTTGTTCAGAGCTTTAATTGTCTTCCCAGCCTAGGTGCACAGAATGATTAATAATGTGAAAATATGATTCGTTTTTAATTGGATTTTTGGTCGGTTTTCCTTATGCTTTCTGTTGTAAGAATTATACAGATCAGCATGTTTGTAAGGATTTTAACTTGCTGATTTTTTTTACATGTGGCTGCCGTCTCCTTGCATGGATGAATTTCCAAGCATAATTTATAGATGAAAAAGATTATACTTGGTAGAAATTTCATGATGCAGCATTGAAAGGAACTTATTTCTGAGGATTAGCTGTGTCATTCTAACTTGGGTGTCTTCAGTCACTGGCATAAGACTCTTTGAAGGGCTGTGAGTTCAAGAGTTCGAGGTTACCTTCTCTGAGACATTAGGCTTGTGCAGATAGGGATTTCCAAACTCCCTTAAATGACTATTGCTAAAAAATAGATTTGTGTTGAGTTCATCTTGATGACCAGCTCTTGTCTTGTTTGATTTGTAAATTGTACAGATATTTCTAACACATCACATTCCAGCCTGACCACAGGCTCCTTCTGGTCGTCAGCCGTGGTGAGCGAATGTTTCTCACCCGAGTCAGCACAATGTTTCTCAATTCCTTCTCTGTTAGCCCTTGTTAGTGCCTCCTGTGCTTTGAAAGAAGAGAGAAGAGTCACTGGAAGAGGGTGAGGGAAAGGCAGTTGGTGTTCAGGATCTTACATGCCTTGAATTTCAGCGGCTCCTCCTGGTTTGGCAAGGAGCACATGTGCTAAATCACCTCTGTTTAGTGTTTGTTGTCTGGTGGGATGGGGCTGGAAGTAGTTTTGTCAGTGCCCTTTTCAAAGGTAGAGCTGCAGTCAGAGTCCAAGAGGGACATCTCAGAGGGTTTCCCAAAGTGTTGAAACAAGCTGAACTATCGCAGAGGGTCAAAACACTCAATATTTGCTGTGGCCCCACGTGGAGGAGGAGGAGGAAAGGGTGGAGGAGGTATTATTTGTGAAGAGGATTAAAAAATTGTATAAGAATGAATCCATCTGGCACAGGGAGGAGTACAGAGAAAACAGCTGGGAGGATATTGTCTGGGGTTTTCCACAGGTGGCACCTAAAGCCTGTTTGAAGTTGGTTCCCTGATCCGTTCAGAGTTAAACCATCACTGCTGCTAAATGTAAGGCAAAATGGCACCTCAGTTGCACAACCCCAGCGAGACCCTCCCACCCCCTGCAACCCTCTTGAGCCAACCATTGTTGTGAGGTGCTTGGTAACCACTGCTTTGGGGAAGTCTCATGCTCTGTGTGAGCTCTCCGAGCTGAGCTAGAACAAAAGCAGATGTTGGGGCTGTGGCTCTGAGGCTGCCAAGCCATGGACGGTGTCCGTGGGACCCGCGGGACACGGCTCTGCTGCCAGGGGAGGACACAGCTCTGGCTCCCTCCGACCCCCAGTGCTCCACACTTCATCACTCTCAACGAGCCGTTGAGCCTTTGTTTCTTATTCCAGTTCAAATGTGGCTTCTGTGGGTTCCATAACTCCAACTTTTTTCCATTATAGAATTGTTTACATTGCACTGGAGGAATTCTGTTCCGTTGGCTTAGGCCTCAGGTGGCTCCTTGGCCGTTCGCAGCTGTTTTGTGAAATGCCTTTTTTTTTTTTTTTTCCATTGGCTACTCCTTCTGAAATTTTTCCTTTTGCAGACATTTGTTGAGACTGGGAGAGCTCTCAACAGGAGGGGGTTGAGGCCATTAGGCCAATTCAAGGGTGGCAGCTCTGCTGGGAGAAGCTGCTGGTGGCAGGAAGCTCAGGCAGAAGTCTCCAGTGAGTCACTTTGTCCTTGCTTGCTCTCCTGGGATTGTAGGATCTGCTTTACCCTCCCTGAGTGGAAGAAGTGTTGGCAATGCCACCACCAAAACCTCTCCAGGAGTAGGGGCCTTGCTGCAGTAGTGATTAAATTTGTCTCTTGCTATTCTAAAACTGAAACTAGCAGTCTCCCATCACAGCTGGCTGTAGTTACACTGTCTGCTGTGCTGCAGCTTCCAAATTTTGTGGAACTGAAAGCCATACTTTTTGGTTCACACACCATATCTCACTGCCTTGGCAACGACCTCACCCATCCTCTCAAGGGACTAGAGGCAATGGTCATTTACAGCTCAAGTTTTGGGGGAATTTCCTCCATGCAAATTTGCTGCTCAGGAGAGTTTTATTGCAAATTTCTGCAAGTGAAAACCATTAATTTAAGGAAGATGATTTGAGACCTGCTTTATCCCAAGGTGCTGTCAGACTAGGGAGGGGCAAGCAGGGAATGGGATTAAACTCCCCAAGTTTCAGGGTACAACAGAGAAAGAGGTTCCCAGGTTTGCCATAAATGTACTTCAGAATTTTAGGCGTTTGAACTCCCTTTACATCTGTCCTCGATGGCTGAAATGGAGATATGTTACCTGTTCAGCTGTGAAGCTGCTGGAGACAGGGATGATCTCACTACAATTAGCAAGAAGAAGTTTAATCATAGGATCAACTGGGTTGGGAAAGACCTCCAAGAACATCAACATTGGGACCTATAGAAAAGTCAATAATATAAATTATTAGTCATTGGTTCATTGACGAATTCTTTGTTCTCCTTCCATATCAAAATCACTCCTGTATCCATTTTTGGATCCCTCTTTTTTTACTTCTATGAACCTTTTTCTTTGCTCCCTGAGAGAGATTGTGCCTCATTTTTCACTCAGCAGGCTGAGTGTTCCTACAGTCCCAACTGTGCCACAACACTTTGACTTAGTCTCCTGTAAAGCATCAAAAAATAAATACAGGAACTTTCTTGATATCAGAGCAGTTTGTCTGTTACCAATTGCAGCCCAGAAGAACGGGTTTACTTTGAATTGTTTACCCATGACAACAGCAGTTGCAGCTGTTATAAATGGTAATTTTTTTCCAACACTCTTAATTCACTGCCACTGAAAAAATAGTTATCAGTGTCATTGTGTTCTGGTCTGTTCAGTGGGACCTGAGATGTACTGATGTGAGTGAACCCGACTAAAATCATCTTCCCAGCAAGTCTAGAAGTGATGGAACTTCACCTTTTAGGGATTTCCCCCTTTAATGTGCTGGTGGAGCCTGTGTGGTCTGAGTGTGTCCTGGCTTCTCTCAGAGGGAGCTTTGGGAGCTCTGTGCAGGGAATGGCAGTGCTGAGGCCTCTCAGGCTTTCCCTCGTTGTTCTGTCACAAATACCTTTGGTTTGGGGGTATCAGACTCCCTGCTGGGTCTGACACATTGAAAGATTAAAACCTAGAAGAAAAGTTCTGACAATATTTCCCAGCTGATGTCAAAACCCATCAAATAATTACTAGCAGAAGTTAAGGCTTGTGTAATTTGTTCTGCACATCATAAAACTTAAAGATTTATATAAATCTGTGGCTTTACATAAAGGCCTCAGTTTCACTCAGTAATTTGATTTTTTTCCCCCCCTCCCTTTTCCCTGGACAGTGTTTCCATGACCTTTGCTAAGTGATTGCTTTTTTAGCTACAGTGTCTGGTGTTCAGACTCTCTGAATTGCTCCTGACTTCTTTTGTCTTAAAGTCATGGCAATTCTTTTCAGGTTTTAAACCATGAGGTTGCAATTCTTGAACAGATTTTTAAGCTAGTTAAATTTGGATTTCTGTCCAAAAAAAATCTTTTCATGTAAGATGGAAACTAGAAATCATTCCATTAAATTGCATTTAAATAACTTTTAAGCTTTGATTGTATTTCAAACCATTTTTAGCAAACAGCAGTACATGGATAGGCAGAAAACTGTCACAAATGAACAACTGGATTTTGGAGCAAGATCCAAAAGTTGAAGTTTGCTGTAAGGTGTTATTAAGTCCCAGACATTAAAAAAAGTAACCTATAATTTAAATGCCTCAATCCTCTAAAAGCAACAGTGGGGAAAACACCTCTAATAAAGCTGTAGGCCATAAATACCTTTAGGAGAGCACTGTAAAAGCTTAGAAAATTCCTGGGTTTTAAGAAGTAAGGAATCTTATTTCTCCTTGGCACCCTCATGCAGTGGCATGGCAAGGGCTGAAAGGCTCCTCAATATTTTAGTGGCTCAAAGAAGAGTTTGGTTTCAAAGTAGCTCAACTTTGTACTTCAGATGGTCTAAAAATAAAATCCAGTATTTCACATATATAACCTTATCAATGGCCAAAGTGAGAAATGCTTAGTTTTAGCCTAAGCTCATCAGGAACAAATCTGGAGGTTTAATTTTAACTTTCCTTCTAACTAACATCAAATGCAGTTGAAATTCTGTGGTTTTTTTGCAGGGTCCACACATAGCATCAGTGACTCTTGCTGCGTATGAATGTAACTCAGTGAACTTTCCTGAGCCTCCTTACCCAGACCAGATCATCTGCCCTGATGAGGGGATGGCTGAAGGCTCCATCTCCTTGTGGACTATCATCTCCAAAGTCAGGCTGGAGGCCTGCATGTGGGTAAGGGTCACAAATGACAGGAATTAGCATTTAGACTTTGTGTTTCTGCACTTGAGTTCTGTGTTCAGCAACCCACAAAAATTCCTGAATTAGCTGAACGCAGTGATGGCTAACACTGCCCAAGGTATTGTATCTGCCAGATGAAGAGTTGCCTTCCTGATGAACCTTCCAGCCCTGGTAACTCTGCTGTCCTTTCAAGAGAAGTCATAGGATATTCCTGGGGGATCTTTTATCAGCTGCAGTGCAGAAAACACTCACCTGCTCCAACACTGGTGATGCAAAGGTAAAGGCTCAGGAGGTTTTCTGTGCCCCAGGTAATGTAGCAGCTCTCAGGTCTCTGCACTGTGTGAGGTTAAGCAAGAAATAATCTCCAAAGTTTTGAGCCTGTAACTTGGGTGAAGCTGCAGTTACTCCTATGAAGGATCATGTCCTTCAATATCACAGCTGAAATGTTCTTCTGGGCTGCACCAATACATTGGGTTAAAGAAATGTTTTGCTGCCTATTTTTAAAGCATATTTTATTTCTGCTTCTCTGCCTGTCTCCACTGTGCAAACTTCTCACTTAAAACAGGAAAAGCATGTTAGCTTTAAGGGAATCAGAGCCTTAGGAAATTGGAACTTCCTTTCTGTTTTCCTCTTTCCTTTTTTTTTTCTCTGCAGCCTCTTGTAGAAGTTTGGTTTTGAGAGGATTTTTGGGCAGCTGAGATGTTTTTTTCATGACATGGAGATTATCTTGCACTGCAGCTCACACAGATGCATCTGCTGTGAACTACATGCCAAATTAACTTGATTTTGCTCCTGACTTCCTGTTTCTGGCTGATGATTTAATTAGTAAATTCTTGGTTGTCCAATTCAAATGTAGAGAGAGGAAATTCTAAAAATACTCAGTGTCTGATGTCTGCCCTTGTGTTCTTTAGGATATAAGGCAGTTGGTCATGACAACTTTTTCAGTTTGCAGCTGTGTTAGTTACAGGAATTCCACTTAGGTTATATGAATTTACAGACTAAAGTCACCAAAATCAAAATAGTCCCAGAGAAAGTGGAGTCAGAGCCCTCTAAGAAGCAAAGAGCATCTTCAGCTTCCCTCCTAACGAGAGGACAGAACTGCCTCAGTGCTCCATAAGTGGCTAAAGGCACAAAAACTTCTGAGTCTATAAATACAAGATTTCTTTTTATTTTCTTCCTCCTCACCCTGTGCTGAGGTTTGTTTAATGGAGATCAGAGTCATAAAAATGGCATTTACAGTGAGGTTTCTAGGGTTGCAAAATAAAATGTAGCTCAGGGTAAACATCTATTGCTTAATCTTCAGCATTTAAAAACTGAGCTCTGAGATTGAGCTGTTCAGAAAGGAGTGAAGAGAGTCACAAGCACTGGGAGCTCATGTCCTCCTGAGCAGCTGTGAGGGAGAACAACCAGTGCCTTCGTGCTTTGAGCTGCATTTCCTGGTTTGGCCTAGGAAAAAGACAAGGAATAGGACAGAGTTGGAATATTTGTATCCCACTCCTTCCCCCCTTTTCCATCTTCTTGCCTTCAGACTCCCTGTCAGCTACCTTTTCTCTGAACTCTGTCTCCACTGGGTTCTCCCTTGGGAGCATCCTCTGTCTACCAGTGGTGTCTAGTGTAATGTTATGCTTTCTTGGAATGTTTCATGAGTACATAAACATTGCTTGCTAATTTCCTGTAAGCCAAATCAAGTTGGCAATTGCTGCTGCTTCTTCCAGCATGTTTCTTTTGTCCTAATTCCAGTTCACTTTTTATGGCAGCTGTTGAAGGAACTTATTTTTGATCCTGTCACTCTTAAACTAAATGTCCACTTAGCAGGCAAATTATATGGTGACTTCCAGAAAGTGAAAAGGCTAATTTTTTTTCAAATCAAAATGTTAGTAAGAAAAGAAATTAATTTTTTCACATTAAAACTGAAATCTGGAATATGAAGTTTAATTCCTAAACTGGATGTGATTGAGAGAGCTCAGAAAATGGAAGCAGCAGCTTCTCATTGGGTCTAAATTCTGAAGTTGGGATAAATACTGGATGAAGGCAAAGGAATTCCTGGATGTGTACAGATGTGCTCCTACTGCAGCACGTGGAGCCCAGTGAGGTCTAACCCACCATTAACCCATTTCCCTTCGACTTGTGAAGTGAAGTTGTGTTGAAAGGCTCCACAGAGGAACGTGGCCAATGTCCTGATTATTTGGAGGGAGACAGGAGGGTGGTAGCAGTACAAGTTTTCATTTGCAATGTTGAAAGCAGGTCAGTCCCTGTGGGGACATTGCTGAGCTCTGACTGTAAAGCTGCCCAGACTAAGCATCCTGCAGGGTTGAAATGTGAGGATTTCTCTGCACAAGGGATTTGATTCAGATCACAAAACCATCAGCAGCTGCTGCAGCCAACTGAAACCAGGTACAGCTTTTTCCCAGAGGTGGAAATCATTACTAGTCCCCTGCCCATCAGTGATGGCCATGTTTGCTGATAATGAGTGTTACGAGGATTAAATATCAGTGCATCTAAGGAATTATGAGGTGAAATGAAAATGATGCTTTTTGCAACCCCTATAAAAGTTGGCTCCACCAGTCCTGGCCTGCAGAAGGAGTCTGAAACAATCTGCTAGGTGTATGCCAGTTTTCACAGCCTCCCATCCCACAGGGACAGGGAATTCAATAGTGCTCTATATTTTTAATGTGTTTCAGCCTTTTTGTTTTGTTTTTTATTTTTTTACAAGAAGTAAGGGAAAAGAATAAAACTGTTTAATTGCTCAGGATTAGCAGAACAGGCAGCCTGTGTCCTGCCCAGCATCAGATCTGTTTCAAAGACTCTTTCTAGTGCAGTAATTTCCCAGTTTCCTTTTCTGAATGTATTTGTGTAAAAGAATTTTGATTAGCATTTGCCTTTCCAGTCTGTTGTTGGTCCAAGGAATCTCCATGTAAAACTGGCATTCAAAGTTAAGTGGTGCAAACAGCTAATGTTACAGAAAGCAGTTAAATAGTTACTGGTTTGGATCCCTTAATTGCTGCTTCTTTTTTTTTCTGAGCACTTAAGGAACCTATCTCCAGCAGACATGGAATCATATGATTTTTATTGCACTTCTGAAATGTTTTGTAATAATAAGCATGTGACTTTTCCAATTTAAAGAAAGTTCATGTCCAGTACACACATGCAAACCTCTTCCTCAGCTCAACAACGAAGCCAAAGCAAATTGGCAGAGCCTGGAGCAGCAATGTGACTTTTTGTTCTTGCATCACCCTGAGAACATAACCTCAAGTTAATTTTTCTGAAGCATTGTTGCTACTGTTTTCAGCCTTATCTTCCCCTTGTGCCAGAAATATGCAGATTAATGAAGTTCAGCTTGTTGCACTCGTTTAGATTTCTCTTCTGTGGAAAACAAGGGCATAAACATCTGAGGCCATGCACTGTGTGTGCTGAAACTGAGAATTTAACAGCTTTGGGGAACTGTGGAGAGCAGCAGCATTCAAACCACAACCTGTTGATTTGGAATAGCCACAGCAGCTGGATCTCTTGCTGGCAGCTGTGTGGAGAGCAGGAACAAAGGAAATTGAAAAGCTTTCACATTGCTTCAAAGGAGTAGGAAAGCATTTGTTACTCAGTGCTGACCCTAGGAGAGCAAAGCCATCTGCATGGAGCTCAGCCTCAGCACATTCCCAGCTATTGTGTTCCTACCTGTCCTAAATTTAAACCATCCTGAGCTTAGGCCAAGTTCCTGTTTCATTAGCCTCTCTTTATCCCTATGTTCAATCTTGGCTGTCTCTCTTTGCTTTTTTTCCCTTGGTTAAGCTAAAGTTGCATTTGCCCACAAGATTGAAATGAGTCATTTGATGTCCTGAGAAAACAAATGTAATTTTCCTGTGGTGAGCAAGCAGCCACCCCTTCAGCTGGGCTGCTCCTGGCTGCACTCAGCCCATCCAGAGGAGAGGGACACTCAAGCTTTGCTTAACCTTTTTTCCTTGCTCACAGCTGTAGTAAAACTCGAGCCTGTTTTCTAATAAACACTTGCACAAAGTCTCATGACTGACCAAGTAAACTCCCTGACAGCACTGGGGAGGAGCTCCCAGACCACTCTGAAGGCCACTCTGGAGCTGGGGCCGTCACATGCTCACACACAGAGTGTGTCTGGCATCATGTGGTGGGGTGAGAGGGCAGCTCTGCTGAGTCAGGATGTGTGGGACAGCAGGCCCCTGGCCTGGCTGTGCTCTGGCTGCAGCACAGTGACAGGCTCCAGCCTCCCACAGCCCTGGCACAGCTGCTGAGCCATGTGCCACTCCAGGCAGGCACAGAGCATGGCACTCTGACCTTGTTCTCCCCACTCTGGGAGCCTTGCAGGGTGATGTGCTTCTCTGACAGAAGCTACATGAGGAAAGGGGGTTAGACACTGGAATAGGTTTGCCCAGGGAGGTGGTGGTGTCGTCATCCCTGGAAGTGTCTAAGAGGTGTCTGGACCTGGTGTTGGGAGATAAGGTTTAGGGTTTAGTCTGGGGGGGAGGGAATCTACAGCCCTGCTAAAATCCAGCTCTAGGACACAAGGGACAGGCTGTCATGCTTCATGTGGCCAAGGGGATCTGGAAACAGGCTGGATCAAACTCTGCATTGTGACTCTGGTTTATCTGGAAGATTGGGATATGTCTGGTGATGATGATGACTGATGGGTGGAGTGAGGTACCAGAGGGTCAGTAGTAAATTAAGTGGCATCTTGGTTCTCTGGGAGCCAGTGCACCTTGTCTGTCACTGGCTGTGTTCAGCTGTCCAGTTTCCACTCATGTCCCAAGCACTGGGGTTGTTGGGGATGTCCTGTGCAGGGCCAGGACTTGGACTTGATGAGCCTTGTGAGTCTCTTCCAGCTCAGGATATTTTAGGGTTTAGGGGTTACACCAGTGACAAGTTGGACTTAATGGTCTTAGAGGACTCTTCCAACCGTCAGGATTCCATGGAAATGAGGATTCAAAGGAACAGCACAGCATTGTGTTGGAAATCCTGGTGGGTAAAAGCAAACATCTCAGAGCAGCTTGGATGGTTTGAAATGTCCACGGGACTGCGCATGTATCACGTTTTCTGTTTGAGAATGAAGGTGAAAATCAGTGAGAATTTTTCTTTTCCCAGGGTGCTGGGACAGCCATTGGGGAGCTGCCTCCATACTTCATGGCGAGGGCAGCCAGACTCTCTGGTGCTGAACCTGATGATGAGGAGTACCAGGAATTCGAGGAGATGCTGGAACGTGCAGAGGCTGCACAAGTAAGAACAGTGCAAAACAACACAATTAACGAAACACAGAACAACTAGATCAAATAAATAACCCTTGCAATTAAAGGAGAATGGGCCAAAAAGCAGTTGGGGTGAGTTCACAAGGGACTTCCCAGGGATGGAAAAAGCTCCTGTGCTGGGTAGAGATGGATACCTGTGGTGATGGGAGGAGAAGAATGCAGCTTGTTGAAGCAGATGCAGTAGTGCAGCCAAGTATTGGCTACAAGTGCTGCAATTTTTTAGCCCTCCAAGGACAGCACAGTGAGGGTAAGAGGAGGCAGTGGCTGACAAGGGGTAGAGGAGCTGCATTTAAGGTAATCTGGATGCATTTAAAGCCTCCCAGGGCCCATTCACCAGCCTCAGGAAACACTTCTCCTCATGTGGAAGTGCAACCAAACTGCTCTGAGTCCCTTTTTGTTACTCTGTCACTCATTTTATCATTGGGTAACAGCAGAGTTTGTAACTGGTGCTGTACATCACTCAGATACTATTGTGGGTAGTTTTTCCTTCAGGTCAGGAGTTTGCATCCTGGTCACAAGTTATTGACAGTGTTTTAGAAGAAATTAAACATTTTTTCCTCATACTGCTGATTTTTTCCTCTGTATTTTCCCTCCTTATCCTGTTTTGTCTGTCACTAAGTTGAAATGGGTCATGAGACTCCAGTTAAACACCAGCAGATGCTATTTGCCATGCACTGGTGTCTCTAAACTCTTCTGTCTGGGTATTTTCTTCAGATAAATATATACTACTTTTTCTCCTTCAGAAAATGGATCATGCTTTTCCATGCAAGTGGTTTGCCTGGAAATACTGAATGCAATCTAGTAATTCTAACAGTAAACCCTGTGTTTCCTGAGAGCCTAGAAAGTTCCAAAGGGTTTTTCTGCTCTTATAAATAGTAAATTCTTCTATTTTTTTGAAGATGCAGCAGGGGGAAAAAGAATCTGCTTTGTTCTTTACTCTCTCATCAATCTTTGCTGTGCAAAGTAATCCCTAGCTGCACAAAAATCAAGTTGTGGTAAAAAAAAACCCAACAATGAAACCAGTTGAATACATGACTCGAGTATCTGTGTTTACTGAAACTCTCCCAGCAAATTATATGTGTGTACAGTTGTGGGAGCAGCCAGAGTTGGGTTCCAGAAGGCCCAGCAAGATTCTTGGGAAGAGAAGTTTTGCTAGAGAGCATTTTGTCAGGCCAGGCCAAGCTATAGCTGCCTCGACTGCCCAGAGCACAGCAATGACCCTGTGGAACTGATGAAGAAAAATGAGGGTGTTATTTACCACTGTTTTGATTTGATTTCCTTGCCAATTGAATTTGGATTGAAGTGTTGTTTTGTGGATGGATGGGCAGGAAAAAAACTCTCTTAAACTCCACTTGTGGTTTGGTTTCTATAAACTCTTTTAACATGAGGCTTTGACAATCCGATTAACTTGTATTGTGCTCATAAAACTGACAGTTCAGTTTTTTCCATTTGCTAATGTGACTTCCTTTCTGCTTTTGGCTTCAGTCGTGTTTTCTCTAGATGTCTGTGGGAGACAGGTCTGCCTCTCCTGTGACCTTTGCAAATCCCACTCTTCAGCAGAGCTTATCACTAGTTGTGCTGTAATTTGTATTCATGAGCAGCGATGATGTCTATTTTTAAATTGCTTATTAACAGTTTTTATTACCTCCATCAGCTTCTCCCACTCTGTGCTGTTATGTCACAACACAGGGGATGTGACAAGTCTCCTGTGCCTCGGGGGCCACTCCAAAGGTTTGCTGTGAGTTGCCAGGAGCCTCCTTTCAGGGTTTCATCCTGCCTTTTGGAAAGGCATGAGAATGGGTGTTGGGGGTTGAAGAATAGCTTCTCCCTCTCCTTGTGCTGATGCCTACGAGGCAGAGCCAAGTGGTTTGACGTTTGTGCCTGCGTGTGTGTTGTTTAGAAAGCTTCTCACTGCTGCTTCTCAAAAACAATGGGAGTTTGGAGAAACAGATGAGGATCTTCTATGGAGAATAGATCATGAATATAACATGCAGCCTGAAGGATCTGTGAGGGGCAATGTGCTTGCTAGATTGGCACTTGGGGAAAAAATAAAAAAAAAAAGGGACCTAAAAGGATTAAACAGCATAAAGGCTTAGTGCTCCATTCAGAGTTACACAGAGGAAGATGCTGTTTACTTTCAAGAGTCTGTTGATGGATTTTCTGTCGGCAGTCGCAGATCTAAGTGACTCTGAGCTGCGTTCATTAGCCTGCAGATGATGTCTGTGTGTTTGCCATTAGCATACTGGAGAAAACGTCCCTGGTTTTAAAGGAACACTCACTTCTCCTTTCTGCGCACACCACTGAGTTCCAGTGACACGGAGGGAGTGACAGAGCTGCTCCTGCCTCGTGCCCTGGCAGAGGAAGGTGCTTTGCCTGCTCTCCCCTCCGAGCCCAGCACAGCACTGCCCCGTCTGTCCTCAGGGCAGGATTTCACATCTCCCAGGGGCTGAGACGGTATCTCAGCTGCTGTTAATCTCTTGCAGTGGAATTCCAGCTCGCAGGAGTGTTTTATCAGCGCTCCCTTTTAGCCACAGGGAGTATCTCCAGCGCAGCCGTTCAAAGCAACCTCTCAATTAGGGGAGGAGAACGCAGTGCTTACTGCTGGGGCAGCACATTGCTAATAGCACAGTGCACAAAGACTCGTGTGCAGTCTCAGGGCTCCACACGTGTGTGCTGGGACTCTCTTTGGCCACTTTCAGAGTT